AGGCGGCGTCGCTTTGGAACCGGAACTTCCGCCGCCCCACCTATGAAATTTCCATCGAAAATGGCGCTCTCGCGCCCGACTGTCTGAAATTATTGAAGGCCGCCCCCCCTTCGCGACGAGAGAAACTGCTCGGCACGTCCGAAATTGAAAGGCGACCGATGTGGATAACGTTAACGCGGGTAAAAGCTGCGGGATATCGCGAGCGCATTCGAATAGGAGAAAAGTGCAAAGGAGGGAAGCGCGTCCCCCTCTCCCCCTCCTGTTTCTATGCAAATTTTCCCCGAGAAGGGGAAAGGGAACGGAGGTGAATCGGGACACGATATTTTCCGAATTTTTCTTTCGATTTCGAAACATTCCGATTTTTTTTTTTTTTTGCCCCGTTCTCGAATTTCCCCGTTTTAATGCGCCGATGTTAATCTTTTCCCCGGGATGAATATGCATCCAGTGTATACGTGTCTAGATTAATCGATAACAGGATACAAGAATACGCGCGTGTGCGTGTACTCTACGTAATGCTCTTTCCAAACTTTTGCACATTTTTTTCTGGCTTTCGTATTCCGTTAGTCGAGTATTATTATTATTATTTTTTTTTTTTTCTCAAATTCGAACATCGAATATAAACGATATCTCTATCTCTCGCTCGCGTTTTCGAACACGATGAAATCTATCCGACTTCGGAAATTTCAGAGTTTAAATAATCGAACGATTCGGGATTAACAGTAAGAATCTTCTTTCAAGAAGGTTTTAAAATTTTCTCAACTCCAAGCTGAGAATAATGTTTTAGTTACTCTTCGTCGGATTGCTTGAACAATTTATCGTGCGGTTTAACACCGAACGTTACCACCGAGGTCGCGTTACCAAGAGGTTGTTAGCCGTAAGTAGCTACGAGCAAATAATTATTGACGACGTTTTAATTAATGTCCACACCTGTGGAACATATCTTATTAATAATCTCATCTTATATCGATCACGATAACCGTTCGAGTAGGTCCATCGAAGATGGAGAAGGGGAGTGATATCGGTTTCAAAAGTCGTTGCGTGGCCGGACGGAAGGTGGTGGCAAAGTGGTGCATAATCCTGGGGACGTGGAACGGGCAATTATTAGCGGGGAATATCGGCCGCGCAGGTTTTGGAATATCCGACGATCGAACGGCTATGTATATATATATATATATATATATA